GCTCCCTATTTTGTGAGAATTTGGTCGTTCGAAGCTCCTGCTGAAGATCTTCAATCATTTTTTGCTTCTGAGCAAGACTAGCCCGGAGAAGTTTAACTTGTTTTTCATGTTTTTCTTCGATTTGTTTGACAGTTGCCTGCTTTTCAGCTTGTAGATCATTGATGATGGATTCTGATTTGTGCAATTTCTCTTTGGTAGACGAAAGCTCAGATTCGAGTTTGGAGATGCAATCAGTGAGTTCGGTTATTTTTGAGTAAGAGGCCATTGACTCGCCATCAGAGTTTTCTCCCATATCAACAGCTGTCTTTGTTTCTGTTGTCGTTGATGCATCGTCTCCCTCCTCTAATGATCCTACTTTATAAACATCCTCCAGGCTAGGCCTTATGAAATTATTTGACTCTATCGGTCGACCAGCTAGTTGACTTTTCAATGATTGGTTCTCCTCCCGTAGTCTAATTAATTCATCTTCTTCTTGTTCCAATCTGTTCATTGTTTCTGTAAAAGTCTTTTGTAGTTCCCTCCCTTGTTCCTCCATCTCTGCTACTTTATTAGCCCATACTTGCATCTCCTCGGTGAATTTAGCATGAGCATCTCGTAATAGTTGCTTTAATTGCGAACTAACTTTTGCCTCTTTAACTAATGCATTTTGAAGTACTTGTATGTCGCTCTCAAGTGTTGTGATATCATCTTGATGTGTTTTTTGCAAGTCACATAGTGTTTGTGATGTTGACTCGTAAATCTTTTGTAAGTCTGCACGTTTTGCACGTTCTTTATCGAGAAGATAAAGAAGTGATTTTGTATTTGCTTCTTCCATGTATGCGCCTTGTGAGTGGCGTTGTGGATTGGTATGCTGTGTATGATGTTGTGAATTGAGTTGCGAATGGGCAGGCAGTGACCGTCTCTGTTATGATGGGTAATTACAGCAAAGCAAGGGCGAACGATATATAATAATTAGTTTTTCTACAACGTTCAAAGAAATTGGTAGCATTGACTGATATGCCAACATGTTGTAACAAATCTATCGCATTCTAGTCGAATACTTTTTTTTAATGACATGTATGTTTTATGCGTCAGTCCAGGTATCCAGTGTGTGTTTGTGGGGGGGGGGTGGATGAACCAATATGAGTTATAAAGGATAAATGTAATTCTCTTAATTTAAAGGTTTCCAAATTGAGATAACAAGTTCGACAGTGACAATCTTTTG